GTATATATATATATATATATATATATATATATATATATATATATATATATATATATATATATATATATATATATATATATATATATATATATATATATATATATATATATATATATATATATATGTTCTCGAGGTGCACATGTCATGAGGCATCACATGAAATCCTTGGGAACAGAAGAAGAGGGACAACAAATAGAGAATCACAACTTAACATGAACATAAAATAGAGTGAACTCACATGGATTCAAGAGAGAATCCACATAGTTTTCAAACTCAATTTGATTCTACAACATAAAGCATCCTTGAGCGATCATAGACATATATACCCACACATACAATTTACTCTTAATTGATTCTATAATCGTGGTGGATCGGACTATCAACTTTTTGAGGGAGAGTCCATATATAAGGGATAACAATCTCGTGAGGTCTATATAAAGTGGGATGGACCGAAGCATGAAAAGTTGTGGATCAGATCCAAATCAATTTGTATGTATCCACTGTCTTGATATTGGTCAATCATTGACAACCTTATGTCAGCACACAGTTCCAAGTTGGGATATCACGACATGACAGATGATCACGAAAGACTAAATAAAATGGATTAAAGATTACTGTTCCAATTATGTCGTATCTTGATAGTGGGTGAAACTATACTTGTCCTGGATTGATTAAGCTCTCGTGTCCGAATCATAATATAAAGCCAAAAGAACTATAATTTTGCAGCATGTGATTCTTGATTTGATCTGACCACCACCACATGTACGTTATATTATCTACATCAAAGAATTTTAGGTCGGGTTCATATTTTTCGGATGTAGAGTTTATCCTACTACTACTACTATATATATATATATATATATATATATATATATATATATATATATATATATATATATATATCTCCATGTTATTCTTACGTAGACGTATAAACATATACATATGATTGAAGAGCAAAGAGGCAGAACCCGTGAATGTGTGTAGCAGTGACAGTACGGACAACTAAATCATTCCTCCGTAGTCTATATGTTCTTCATGTGCATGTCGACAAAAGCAAGCAGGACAAGCACAAGAGGAAACATACAACGTGTCTCGCCAGCAGCAGGAAGGCCAGGAAGCTGATTCCCATTACTATCGTTTGCCATGACCACTGCACGAACAAAAGCCTTTTTAACGTCTTCTGAGTCATAATTGCTATTTAACCTTGTTCATTGAATGAAGTAAAGAGTAAAACAACAAGGAAGAGGAGGAGGAAGAGAACCTCGTGGGTGTTGTGGAAAACAGAGCTCAACACCGGAATCACAGCCATCTTTTTGGTGAAATGGACGATCCCCAGTAGGTTTTTGAGTTGCTGGAGAGAAACGATAATGGCAGCGCCGGCCATGAACCCAACCAGTGTAGCCTTTGACAAGAAGTCTATGATGAATCCCAACCTTACCAGTACAAGAATATCCATAATTATAGAATGAATCGTGCAGCGATCATGGAGATGGAGATCAAACAGAGTTCTGACCTCAGGATCCCCAGAGACGCTTGGAAG